CAACAAGAGATTAGAACTCTTGTGTGCAAAGCAAAAAGGTGTATATTTATATATATATATACACACACACCCCCCTTTATTTTCTTAATTCTAAAAGCAAATTTGGTTCTATTTTTCCATATGCTATAATAAATGGAAATTAATATATGTATTTTTAATGGACTTTCCTTGGTTATGCTGTTTCTTCTGTATTATCTATCTTGTAGGGATTAATGAATACATCTTTGATTTAAATTGTGACATAGTAAGGGCAGCTTTAACAAAAGAAACAATCTGTTGGCCTTGGATGTAGGGAATGTAATTTGCTAGAATGCTTCTCCTGTGTTTTGAACATATATTCTTAGCAGTCACCAACCATATGATGAATTATTCCAGCTAGAAGTGTGAGGTTTTGACACTTTGCCCACTCTCTCCCCAGTTGACAATCCTAGGATAAAGATAACAGGGTAGGTGGCTACAACCCTTTTTAGGAAACTATATTTTTAGTTTGGTTGGAATGCTGTGTATTTATCAAGATAGGATACTTTATTTGGTTTTACACCTGACTTAAATTATGCAAATTCTTTTATAATGCAAACATGTACTATTTCTTCTCATTAAAATAAACATTTACCTTTCGGGTTTTTGGAAAAGAAGAAAATATCACCAAGTTGAATTCTAGAATAATGAAAAAGGGAACCTGATCCATTCTAACAATCTAAAGTGGAATTAGCTTTAAACAATTTAACTCTTTGTTTTTCTAGCCCATCTTTAAAGCTTTCTAGTGTTGGACATTCCAAAATCTTATATAACAAACAGTTCATTCCAAGGCACTGCTCCCCTTTTTTCCTCTTCTCCTGCAGTACCAATTGTCCATTTTGCTATGTGTTTAAAACCTGTTATTTTCTGTGAGTTCCTTATGTAGCTGAAGCCTATTCTTATATATCCCTTTCCAGTCTTCCCTCCTGCAAGTTAAACAACCATAGTTTTTTTGTACTGTGAGGTATTTTCCTAAGCGTTCTGCCAAGGAATGGTACACAAAACTAGCCACTACCCAAAACCACCAGCAGGTTTATCAATTTTAAGCATGCAGCTGAGTATATTGTTCACTCTTCTTGCAACAGTGTGGTTTTGCCAATTCATGTTCAGCATATTCTCTCTATAACAAAGTGAAAAATACAAATACTACAGTAATTTGGGTCATTTGTTTAATACAAATACATTTTTTTCACAACAATAAGCATATATATTACTTTTGTTTCCCTTACTTTCTATCTTTCAGTACGCACTCGCCCACAAGAACATACAATTTTTCTTTTGCAAAAGAGAGGGAGTTAAACAAGTACCACAAACTCATAGTTCCAAATATTACACACAGTAAAATATTTTCATCATAGAGTAAGTTTCGTTGCATTATTACAAATCATAAATGGTTTGTTCTGGGGATGGGAAATTACTGGTTTTTTTTTCTACACAACAAAAATAAACACTGCTTTCAGATATAGCAGTGTGTAAATGGCACAATTGGACTAGTTGAGAATCTTCATAATGCTAATGATAGTCAAAAGTGGTGGTTTATGCCAGTTTTAAATAAACTTCATAATGCTTTTAACTTAAAACAGGAAAAGAAACCTGTGCATGTTCACAGGTTAAGAGTATCTTGTTTAAAATTCCACATCTGATCTGACACCAGATTACTTCTACCTACCTTCATTAAAACTTTGCTTAAACAAGAATGCAGCTTAAGCTCTTCTCCATAATGGCAGCTCAGTGCAAGGTTCTGCCCTTGTGGGTTTAGCCAGGCTAAATTCTGCTGTCTGCGTGTTTGCCTGAGATGCACTGTGCCTACGCAGACAGTTTGATACGGATCTTTATTTGATATATCATTTTCATTAAAAAGTCTTAGAATGTATCTTAAAACTTCCAGTATACTGTTTTGCAGGATAGAATAGTCATTAAATTAATACAGAAAATTGTGCTTTGTGTGGGAATAAAAAAACATTGGTTGATAAGCAGCTGTCTGGTGTCAGCATTTGTGCACCTTCCTTATTCATGTAGACCTGTAGCCAAGGCATGTTGGTGTGAATAGCTCCTTGCCCTCTTGAAGAGGAACTGCCCTGCTTCAAAACCAAATTCCAATCCTGCATGAAATCCTTGAAAGCTCTAGAATATCCAGTGCACCTAAGAAGAGAAAGGGATGCATGGGCTAATACTGTAATGCTTTAAAAGGTTAAAGATTGCTTCAAGCCTGCTGTAATCTCTCTTGTCTCATTATCTGTCTCAGCAGACACTGTCCCATTTTGCTCCTTTTCCTGCTGTCCAAATTAATATTTCAAAGAGAAAGGTGGAATTTCAAGGGAAGCCTTTCTCCATTCATCTGTTTAACTAACTGTAAGCTCAGTTGCACATGTAGTTTGAGATGAATGCCAAAATAGTGTTTTGAAGTTGAAGTCATCAGTATAAAATGGTTTTGCAAGTTGTCTCTTCTCTTGCTGACTCTTCAGTAAATGTATAGTAATTTTGTTGGATGCTATAGATTTGTCTCAGGTATTTTTTTCTTTGATTCGATTTTTATACTTGTGCAAGAAAAAAACCCATGTGAATTGGTCTCCAGTAAACTGTCAAAATAGGGGATAAAGTACTTTCAGTGGGGCCATGATGCTATAGCCAGTCAAAGAACAAGCTGGCTTGGTCTTTGAAGTGGAGTTACTGTCACCTAGTAAGAAACTTTCTGATTATTTCAGAAGGATCTTAATTATCTTTCATAATAATGTTCCTTGTCTGTCAATTTTGCTGTGATTCATCAGGTTTTATTGTAAACATAATTCCAGACATTTAGATGCAGCTAGTAATTTTAACTTTAGATATCATGAGATTTACTTCTTAGCAAGTAGATTTACACTTTTAGAAAACCAGGTCTTTGCAGAATATCTTGTAAGTGCAGTTATGAGGCATTCCTTAGTCCTGTCATGGTTTGCTGAAGACCTTCGGAAGTCTCCTCCACAATTATAAACAGAGAAATTATTTTGTTACTCTTGTATATAATTTCAAATGAGAAGCTGCTATAATTCCAGTTCATAATTGTATACTTGGAAAGTTATTTTATATAAAAAGTGTGTGTCATTATGTGGAAAAAGCCATTATTCTAACTCACCTGGAATAACAGATCACATATTAATGTGGGCCTATTCAAGCACCAATATTTTGTGTCCTGTCTAGCCAGATGACAATCACTTAGTCACAGCCAAATTACATGAGCAATTACAATACAAAAGAACATAATGGTCTGATGAAAGACACATTTCTTGCTAATAATGCTACTTCCAGCATTCCCTGAGCCTTAAGCCAGTAAACAAATTCAGTAAGGAATGCCTAATACATATAAACTCCAATACCACTTTGGCCCAGAACCCTGGATATTTGAAAGAACTTGATGATTCTGTTATTTTATTGTAGGTATCTGAGTATGTAGAGGAAATTTACCATTAGACTGCAAGGCTTCTGTAGAAGACTAGTTCAATGGTAATTATGCCAGATTTCCCCCTCTGAATGAACCTCTGCTCTCCTATACTCTTTACTCTCCTTCTTTATTTGCTTGTTTGCTTTTCCTCCTTTATCTAAATACAAGATCAAAAAAGAACTTTTAACTTTTTTTTTTTTAAACATACGTTATGTTCAGGCCTCAGACTTGTCCATGCCTGTACATAACTACTCCAAGTCAATACTTGCTGTTGTGTCCTGATGGTAAACATCACAGGTATGAGAAATAAATCACAAAATTGGTTCTTTATATATAATTCATCCTGTTGGACACAGTATTAATCTACATTCATTTATCTATTGCACCCTTTAATGCTATTCACATTTCATTTTTACACGAGAATGCTCAGAACATTAATATAACAACTGAACTGTTGAATATCTAACACCTCAAGTTTAGCAGTACAAAGGGAAACCATTGATAATTTTTTTTATTATTATTCAGGAAGATAAAAACTAACTTTTAAGAATCAGATAAAAACTAATGTTCTCTTAAGATACGTAGGTATATTCTCTTCTACCTTTCTGTATTATGAACGTTAAAAAATAAAACCAAAAATTGCTTCCATCTTCCTTATGTGTCATCCTTTTTCAGACCTTTGATAATATGCAATTTACTTTTGTGTGATTCTGTAGTAAACTGTATTTTTTCATTTATAGTTCTACTTCAAAACTTTGTATATTCAATTAATGTCTAATTCATTCTTGCAAAGTAAAATAAACAGTTGAGCTGCTGTTTTAAATGCCTATCTACACATTCTCTCCTTCCCGTACTTACTTTGCTGACAGCTATACTTAAAAAACTATCTGTAGCTTATGGACATATGAATTGGAATTGCTTGTTTTTCAAAAATTCAGGCATATTTAAAAACAATGCTATCCTTCAAATGTTTCAAATATCCTTAGCTGACACAGCTGCCCAAACATTCAGGCTCCACTGCATCACATGAACGTGTGTTACTCTATGAGGCTTAGAGAGTGAGTGCAGCTCTATGTTCTTCCATTCAGTTAATGCATATCACTTGAATGGAACCTTCTGAAGTGTAACTTTAAGAAGATAAATAGCAAATGCAACTTTTAGTAGTAAACAGATTCAAGGTTTGTTTTTGATTTCTGTAAACAAAATTGTTATATTAGGTCTGTTTCTACTTTCCCAGCCATCCAATTAAAAAAAAAAAAAAAGTACTCTTGTCATGTTGGTTTGGCATTGTCTGTTAAACCTGTTCTCTATTGCACTTTCTACACTTCCACTTTCACTACACTTGCTGACTAGTTGAGAAACTACTTCACAAATGGTCACATTCCATACAGTAACAAGTTGCTTTGCTGGATCCATTTTCCTTGTGGGGTTTTGGTTTTTGTCTTTTTTTTTTTTTTTTTTTTAACTGAAAAAACACACAGTCATTTCTACTCTCTTGTAGCATTTGTAGTGTAGAAAACACTACACCTTATTCTGCAAGGAAGAAACAATGCCGTCTCTGTCAAACTGGCATGACCTCAGATGTCATTTCTCCAGCTGCTGGCTGAGAGTTTGTACCTGTCTGTGTTACTGGCACCACCACTGCATCCTTGACGTCCGAGGTCTGAGTGCACAAAGAGTTCTTCTCCTCCAGTTTTTTGGCGGTGTCTGGGCAGTTCTGCACAAAGATCACTCTGTTGTAGGCTTTCAACCTGCGCCACAGCTGAACATAAACCTTACACTGCACGTACATGAAGACCAGGCCTCCTGTGAATCCAATGGCCACCACAACGAGTTTTGTCCAAAATGGCCATTCAAGGACACCTTCGAAATAAAATGTTTATATTTATTACCATTGTTATACAATGCACATCAAGTACTGAATATCATTAAAATATTTTGAGAAGAAGCCACCTGCTAAGAATACCCAGGTATGTATATACTATTGAAGTAGTTATGACTCAAGTAGGAGAGAGCGGCTGTTTCCTATCCCATAGGCCAGCCGAGAAACTACATCTGCACTACAGTAATAAGAAACAAGCATTTCAAATAAGAAATTCAAGGTCACTAATCATGAAAGAAGCATAATACTCAATATAGTCAAAACCAAACCAAAACATTTTACTGTTTTTTGGTAATATCCTCATATTCAATAGCTTGCTTAAGCAAAAATACAAGTACCAAAACCAAGATAAAAAGATACCTAGAAATTTTATGCACCTCTTCAACAACTGGTTTTTTTTTTTTTTTTTTCATGCTAGAAGCACAACATTGTTTAGAGTATCTAGAACACGAGCATTTACAATACTGTTACCTGGTCCTAGCTTCATCCTGAAGCCAGGGTATAATAAAAAAAAGTAGTGGAAAGCATTCTCATCTCCTGCATCACCTGCCTTTGTTGGCCTCTTTTTCCTGCTGTCTGTGGAACCCCACTGAACACATCTATATCAAAAAGCAGAACTTACATTCCTATGTACTAAAAAAAGAGTAACTTTACAGTTTTTGGTGTATCTGCTCTTATTTTTCTCATTGCATTGAACAATAACATTGATACAGAAAAACACATGGCTGCTAACACAAAAAATCTAGAGATGAGAGCATTTGAACTTGGTTATACTACGAATAATGTTAAAATTATTTGTCTTGGCCTAAATGTAGTCTTAAGATTTTAACAGAATAAATTAATGTTGTATTGGGAACAGCCTTCTCAATTCATACCACAGCATCTGTTTTTTTTCAACCATTCAGTAGCCTAACATAAAGGAACAGCTACCAGCCTTTCTATTACACATTGCCTCATCATATTTAAATGTTGAATGCTATATGCAAGAGTCAGACCTCTGGATCAGTGTTTAAGCTGTCAGTCTGAACAATCTGAATAGGCCTGTTGGTCCTGTATGGAAGGTCTTTGAATAATATTTTGCTCACTGAATGTAGTATTCAAGGTGCCTTGCAGATGCTTTTTGTAACCAGTGGTGATATATCACAACAACATGGTGATATTTGTGAGTCTTACCCAAGTTTTACACAAGAAAGAAATTTTTGCCACAGGCAGGAAAGCAATCTGTGTTCCTTTGGAACTCAGCAGAAGAGCTTCAGCAAGGAGCCAGTCTTGACTCCTAGACCTGGTAACCTGGACTTCTCAAAAGCAAGTCTTTACATTTAGCCATGTGTGACTCTCATCAATCTAAGTGTCCCCTTTACTGTTAAGTACATAGGAACTGGGCTTTTAATTAAATAAACAGAGACCAGAAGAATATTAATTACTGCAAAAGCACACAAAATGTTTGAAGTAATTGTTTAACAGTACTTAGAAATGGTAACAATGTATTAAGTGATGGTGCTAGCCAATTGTGGGGTTTTTTTCTTAATCTGCAGCAAAATGAAGGCATACAAAGACCATGTAAATATCTTTGTGTTTTCCTAGCTCCTATTACTCTGGTTAGTTGAATTTGCCAGGAATGAGTTATTTTATATTTGTTAAATTTGTTCACAAAAACATCTGTCATGCCTTTCTTGTTCTTGGAACAAAAGGAAGTAACAAAGAATACTTAGCTAAGGTGTCATATCCAGTGATGTGGTTTTTCTTTTTCTTTTTCTTTTTCTTTTTCTTTTTTTTTCCCCTGTTAGTAACTTTTTTTAAAAATCACAGTCTCTTTTTGCTCTTAATTATGAAAACAGTATGGTATGCATCTGACTAAACCACATCAGTGGGTAATGACACAGAGAACCAGCAAGTCACAGCTGGAGTGCTGAGCTCAGAAGAAAAAGGCTGAATAAACAGCTCAGCTTTCCTTCAGAGTTTCTTCTACCTCTTAGAAGTAAAGATGTGCTGCTGCTTCTTCCATGGTAATACAGAAAGCATCATTTTGCTTAACTGGTATGGCACAGTGAATTTTGTACCTTTCAGTATGTTCCAGGATTACCATATTTTCACAGACTCGAGCTTTATTAGAAGAGACAAAGCTCAGCTAAGCCTAAACCTGTTACTTCAAGCTGAGCAAATTTATGTGAAACTTAATTCTCTACCACTGGTGCCATATAAATTCTAGAATATTTAAAATATATTTTAAATTGTCCTTTCTATACACCAGTGACAGGTTTACCAATTAAGAGGTTTACGTTTTTATTTATTTGCATCAAATGCTTTCATCAGAAGAAAAAAATATCCCTTTAAATAATTTGAGAGATACATGTAAAAGAGGGATTGTTAAACTTACACAATATTAACAAACAGTAATATTATTATTATTCAGGGATTATACATTATTATATATTATTATTCAGGGATTTCAGTTTTTCTCCTCAAAATATGTTAATAAATTTTTTCCTGTTCAGTGTTCCCTGTCTTTTTTGCATTTCCCTTTTAAACAGAGGTAATGAAAAGAGAAAAAAGCAAACTGCATGTATGTCCCTCCTCTCTTTCCCAAAATACGTTTGATTCTGTAAAAGTACTTTACTGCAAATTTTGGGGCAAAAGAGTTCACAAACACTTATTTTTGCATGTTGTAAGTAGCCCAAGGCATTTCTTTGTCCATTTTTTTTAGTGTGGAGAATTGTCCATTACATTTGGCAAATACTGAATTCTATGCAAATCATAAATAATTTTTGAGCCTCCCATTATTAATTGATGTGATTCTTATGCATTCCATATAACAACAGAAATTCACATTAGCTTTTTTGTTGTGTAAATTTACCTAATCCACAGACATACCTTTCCCCCTTTTTAATGAGTAGGGTGATGTAGCTGTACTCATAAATAGAAGTTCAAAGCCATGCCTAGTCCTGTCCTCAGGGCCAGTTTTTTCAGATGAAAAACAGGGTTACCCATTTAGAAGGAATGCAAAACAAAACTTTGTATTATACATTTGTCTGTGACTTACTGAGGCTTGTTACATATTTTCCTCATAGGCAAGAAAGACAAGTGTCAGGAATATCATCAAATATTTATCTAACTAGCAAGGCACAAAACTCTGCCTGTTGTGTTTTGGTTTGTTTTCATAACTTCAGAGTAGAGCACAAAGCTGGAAACCTTTGTCATTCTACTGTCTAATTCTTAAAGTCAATTCACATCAAAACTCAAAAGCTTCCTGTCTTCTTCATCATCATGTTCATATTTAAGACTGAATTTAGACTGAATAAATTTAGATTTGAAATGAAAAACAGTAGTTCAGTTTGCAATATAGTTTCCACATACAGTAAGTATTGGCCAACCCCCCCCCTACTTATGTTATACATGCATTCAGTTACACCCATCCAGTTGGGTTTTCAGTACCTCCACAGATGTAGACTCCATGGCCTCTGTGTTCCAGCATTTGGCCACCCTCACAATAAACACAACTGGAATAAGGACATTCACAATTATATTCTATTTGAAAGGAGAGAGGAATGGCTTTTCATGCTACTTAGGTCCCACAAGAAGGCCTAACACAACTGGAACACAGTCTCTTGGAAGTTTGTATTAGGAAGCTTGTTGATGAAAGGGCTCTATCATGTCTTTACAGGATATCAAGGTTCAAGTAGGTAATAGAAATACATTGCTGTTTTATGACCTGAACTTGCACTGAGCTGTTTGAATTTGACTTATCTTTTTGTCTGAGCTTTAGAAATATCTAGATAATGAGAGATTAACCTAAGAAGAACCAGCAGGCTAGTTAAGCTGTTGTAATGATTACACAAGGTAGAAGTGTCTCTGCAGGGACATAACATAAGCTTTTAACACTGATGCATTCATTACTTCTGCATTAAAGCATTTGATACAGCCATATATCAGTGAGCTTAAGAACAAAATGTGATTGGTTACGTAGCTGCATCTCACATTCATCCATTGCATATCAACAAGACTGAAGAAGATAAAAGATGCTTACCGTTATCATTGCCTTGTTTAATTTCCTCAGCGGTTCTATCAATTAAAACATACAATGACCAAACAACACAGGTAATTGCAATGATGTGGAATGTGACTGAACAAACTATTTTCCTCCTCTCACTTGTTGTCATTTGTAGTTTCTCCCACTGCAAATAAAAACAAAAAAGTAATTTAAAAAAATCGGACTTGTAAAATTTTACAAGAAACTGATTAGCCCACTCTGGCTCTTCCTACCAAAAAAGCATGCTGTAATAGAATTATTTTTATAATACACATTTACATTCTTATTTTTTGACACTTTTATTTTTTATATATATATATACTTATATACACTTTTATTTTTTATAATACACATTACAGTAGTATGGGTATTGTCACTGTAAAATTTACGATTATCTCATTTTCACAGATTCAGAGGAATTAAGAGTTCTGTTCTGTTTCTGTTTGCTTGTAAATTAGATCTAAAGTAATGTCATTGCAGTACAGCCCTAACATGTTAATACACAGGTAAAAAGCTATATAGTTATTTTAACTTTACCTGATGCACACTTCTGGTGATGAGAAAAGGAAAAACCCCAAACTTTAGCTTGTAATACTTACTTAAACTATTCTCAGCTATTCTCAGTCACTTAAAATTAGAGGAATGCAGTTGTGGAACAGCTTTCCCATAGAATAAAAACATGAAATGCAACTGCATTGAGGATTAAGTTCAATAAACTTGAAAAAATGATTATGTGGAAATGATTGTACATGAGAGCACTCAAACAGGGTCAGTAATGCAAGGAGGAACTTCCAGGCACACGTTTGTGAATTGTGACACTAAATCCTAGCTGAAGCTAAGGTTATTCGAAAATGAACTAGGCTATTCTCTGCATTTGAACAGTGCAACTCTTGAGGTGATTTTTTTTGTTGTTGTTTTTAATTTTGCTCGTGAAGACTTTTTTTCAGCACTTCTTTAAAATAAAACCCTTCTCTACTAAAATGCTTGCCTTTGAAAACAGATGCAAGAATATATTTAAAAGCAAAATGTCTCGATAACGATGAATAATCCCAGAGTCGGTTGCTAGCATCTGATGACTGCAACACGTACAAAACACAGTCCAGCAGTGCCACCTCTCTGCAGCCATGCTGATGCAGGACTGAAGTGTGCTGCAGCATCCACACATCCTGGCACTGCCAGCGGGACAGCTTCAGGGTGTGCTAAGGCTGGGTCAAAATGACATCTAAGCTAGATGCTTAGACTTTTACCTGAACCAACAGAGCCATACTTCTAGTCTGAGCACTATTTGCTGTCAGGTCACATTTCTATAGAGCACAACCAAGCAAAAGCTGAGGAATACCACTGCAATGTCACCAAGAGGGCTAACTCTCAGAAATCCTTCTTTTAGAGCAGTACACACCAGGCCAAACAAATTTCATTTTTTAATGGCAGTTAAAGCTTGCATGTTTCAGAGCTGTTGCCTCAAAACACAATCTCTGGAGCATTTTCTAGCCTTTGCCAGAAATTTATGAACACAAGGCTTAAATAACTGTTTAGAAGAACTGAAATATTTCCTGAGTAATACAAAAAGAGACAGAGCTAGCAACTTATTTACCACCTGATACATCATTTCAATTCCTGAGACATGTACTTAGGAGTGAAAAATAAGCTTGCTGGATTTTGTCTAGCAGCCTGGAAAAGTGGGAGGCATTTAAAAAAAAAAAAAAAGAAAGAAAAAATCCCAGAACTTTATGTTCATTGTAGTTCATGTAGGTCATATTCAGATGTCAGATCAGATAGACTGTGGCACTATCATCACAGTCTTATCATATCACTACAGTCACCAGGTTACACAGCATTTGACCTGGAGACTTTCATCCTTTTTGCAGTGAAAATTCAATTCAAGCCTTGCAACAGACTTTCTTTCCAAAGAAAAAGTTGTCTTTGTCCACCTAGAAGAAAGGATTTTACCTTAACCCTTCACTTAGATTTGGATGCTGTGTGGGAGGTCAATGCTGAACATAAAGAAAATGTCATTTCAACTCTGATGCTACAATTTTTGGTTTAGTGGAAAGAAAATTCTGTGCTAAATTTTCATTGCTATGTATACCTGTAGTCTCATCATAGCCATTTTACTCTCCATGACATACACAAAAGCCTTAGAGTGCTGATCTGAATGCCCAGTCAAATAAAGTTTTTTCATATGGAATTTTAAAGTCAAAGAAGAATAATGCTGGTCCTATTATTCTAAATGTAAATAGGTAAATAAAGGAATAACTTCTCAAACTTTAGCTGAGATTTACAAGAAAGGTGTAACATGAGTGGGAGCTAGTGGAAATGGGCTAAAGTAGGCCTTTTTTGCTAACATCCCATGATCAAATCCAGCCAGAAAGCAAGACAAGGCCTATTGGACTCTCCATCCTCTCTCTGTCCCCTTTTCCTCTCCCACAAGACAGCATGCCTGTGTGTCTATTATATCCACACCAGAAACAGGCTGGCTGTCAGGAGAATGGGAGAGGCCATCAGAGTACGTGGGTTGTTATGGAACTGGAAGACTGTGCAGCGCACCTCACACTCCCCGTTGGGGTACAAGAAAGGACCAAGGAGAGACTCCTGCTCACAGGTACAGATGCAAGGGGATCAGAGTGCTTGAGAGCATTTTACAACTCTTTGTGTCTCCCAAAGCCGTGCTTCTGTTTCAGCCTGCCCTAGCTGCAGTCCCAGTTCTCTACTCCAGTCATGATGGGCTGTGCTCAAAAGGGGAAATTCAATTAAACTTTGTGCTCCCCTCCTGGTGATCCCTGTGGTAGCTGAGGTAATTTTCTTGTCCTGCTCATGTATTTCAATTTGGCTGAACAGAGAGCACTATGTGACTACTGTCACTCTCTACTGGATGAGTGATATTAGTAGATAAACCAGCAATTTAAGTTGGCCTGGAACAGAAAAGTGTAATTCACTATTTTAGGATTTTTGCAATAGGTTTAAATCTAAAATTTAACTGTTAATGTTAGCACAGACTTACTTGCATAAAAGCACTGTTACGTGAAATAAAAATTGATTGAAATTCCATAGCAAAGTCTATGAGACAATGATAGATTGAGCAGTGAAAGCATCAGCTCCTTCTACTGTGCTATGTAGTCTAGGATTCAATATAGCCCAAGTTGAGTAAGTTTGGCAGCTGCTACCATGTCACACAGCACACCAATGCCTCCTTAACCACCGACAGATTCACCCGTGCTGTATTTTGAAGCTTCCGTAATTCTCATGGTTCTCTACATTCACTATATGATGGCAAGATAAAAATAAATTGCATCACATTTTATTATCTTCATCAGTGATCTGGAAAAATGTACAGCCACAAGGCTGATGACACAGCCATGCCAGAAAAATAACAAAAAAGTAAGTGCCCAGATGCAATTTTCTTTGGAAACTTACATGCTAATAGGCCTAAGGTGCTCTAGGGACTGGAATAAGAGAAAAAAAAATGGAAGACTTTAACAGCCAGAGGAGATATTTATAATGACTTGCAAATTATTAAACCACTAAACTGACAGATAAACACTGTAGCTTTTGACCAGCCTCCTCTGAAGCAGCCCTTCACTGTCGTACATCTGATTGTCACCACCTACAGATTCCTTAGTCCTGGCAGCTATACAAAGACAGACTGAAGATCATCACAGATGCAGATGGTTTAATGTCCTGCAAATACAAGCAACTGCATGAATATCATTATGCTCCACAGAACAGGTGTGCTAAAACACTTCGTAACATCTAACAACCACAAACCTCTTACACAAGTCACCAAACAAATCCACAACGCAACAATATGTATCCCGAGAAGAAAGCTTGAAATACCTCCAAGCCTCTTTATTTTCTGAATAAGCTTTCTGAACATTACACTTGAACTGTGCTCTGCAAACCACTGGAGGGTGGTAGGAGACTGTCTACCTGCCTCAGAGGTTCCTACCAAGAAGCCAGAATGTACCAAGTGTCAAAGGGAAGAAGCCAGACTGTAAATGCAACCAGAAACGCTCCTCCTACCGCAACTACTACTTACAGGTACTTCTAAAACACGATGTGCACCTCAGCCTGAATTCCTATGCTTTGCTGCCAAGGAAGTTTGTAATAATATTGAAAGTGTCAGCTGGAAAACTGTACACTGTTCTAGGATTCTACCTGGTGTTTTAGTTTTGTTTCTTAGACTATCTTGCTCTGAAACTTAAAGGGAATAGTTACTGATTTCATAACGTACTCATGCAATTATGAAATGCAGTCATAAGTCTTCTGGGGAAAGAAAAAAATTTTAAAAGGAAAAAAAATAATAGCCTGCTCACATAGAATATCTAAGTCATACGGAGCCAACTACTTCCCTTTCCTGTAACACAGTCTGTAAAAATCCCTGATATTTATTTCAAAGGGCCACAATTCGCCTCCCTGCATGTCACTTCTAATAAAAACTTGGTTAATCAATATGCAACAAATAAATATGGATTTTTTTTAATATCCTCTGAAAACAGATTGTCTGCACATGTGAGGATGCTGCTTCATACTCTAGAGATCCCAATCCAGCCCATTTTCTTATAGACAGAAGTAAATCTGCAATTTTAATTCCCTCTTATACATTAGGCTTGTCGCAAAGCGGTTTCATGACGGCTAAATGCAGAACCAAAAGCTTCACACTGCTCATACAAAAGCTGTTACCACACCACCGAATTGTACTCTGCAAAATTTGCTGCTGATGTTCCTTTCCCCACCTTCAAGATTGTAGATTTACTCTCTGCCTGCCCTCATCCCCATTTTGTATCCGCATGTTGCCTCCTGCTAGTGGTAATCTTCTGTCACTTTGGCTACAAAATTTTGTCTGCACAGATTTCCTGAACCTACTCCGTATCTACTGCAGGTTTGCAGATTCACAGCTCTCTCCTAGAGGGGCTCATCACTGAGGCTGCCAAATTGAAAGTGAAGTTAATGGGCTGCTTTGCAATATACTATGAATTCTTGGACCTTTAATTCCTGGGTATTTTCAGGAACCCTATTTTTAAGAATTGCATGTAAAAAGGCCTGACAGGGGAATCTGGTACAGGCATGACATTGCTCATATTGAATGTTTTTCCCATTTTGACATTTTTCTCCCTATCCATCACTTAGCAAAAAAAGAAATGACAA